TTGCATGGCCTGAAATAATGTTATCTCAGGCCATGCAAAGCAGCCTGATAAAATTATAGTAAATCATTTGAAGGTAAAAGAACTGTACACACAAAGAAAGAGCCAGTAGTTATTTACATATGTATTAGTGACTGTTAGAGCCTCTAGATTATAAGTTTAAAAACTCTTCTTATTTCTGTTTTAAAGTTCAATGTCTGAGTTGTCAGTGGGCAAGCTAAATCGCTCCATCCTCTTTCATCTCCGGTGGCTCAGATATCCAAGATTAGTAGTAATCACTGACTTTATGCTTCAGACTTATACATAGCAAGGAAAAACGAGAAACATTTGGGTATGATTAGAGAACAAAGGCAGAAGGGGATTGAGGCAAGAATTTTAGAAAATAAGGAACAGTTGGTTTATCTTAATTATAACCATATTCATTTTTTTCTTTCTTATGTGTCAACTGGCAGTTTGTTCGAAAAGTAACCCTCTCACCTGATAATGGGACTTAATTCATTGCAGGTTTTCTAAGGTGACTATGTTTTCTCTAAGCACAGATCCTGAAGGTCTTTTACAGTTGACGGGGCACACACTTTGCTGCTTTTATGGAGCAGAACAGTTTGCTTTTCATCTCCCAGGATGCATGTCTTAAGGCCTGCTGTCATTTTAATCTGGATGGGACAGGCAGGTCAGTCTTAAAGATTGAGCTCAGTAGCAGGTTCGTGCTTGGATCAGGTTTTGCTGAGCATCAGCACAGGTGTATTTCAGAAAATGGAGATTTATTTGTGTACATTGATAGTAAATCTGCAGACTGGTAACTTCTGACTCCTTAGAAATGAAATTTCTTAGATGAAGTATGTTATGAGACTATTTGATTTTTACCTTGAATTTAAAGATATCCTGACAACACAATTTATACTTGATTACTTTCTCTGTACTTCTACCCTCCCGTTTCTTGAGTATCTTGGCTTTTTTCCTCCTCTGTTCATCTTACATATCTTTAAACATGTTTTAGGAAGACTAGTGCCTTTGGTCTTTCATCACAGGTACATATTGCATCATCTCTTCTAAGCATTTTTTCCCTAATGTCATTAAGTATAGATACAGGAGAAAAAAATTGTCAAAGCATCATGATTTTTTAGTGGGAAAGACATTGCTGAAATAGAAAGCTTTATATATAGCAAATTAAATTGATCTATATTTCCTGTGCATTTTCTTGAGGCACTTGCCCCTACCCTTGTCCCCAACACACATATGCACACAAAATGGTTTAAGCTTCAAAACAGAATAAATGTGTGTTTGTGTATGTGTGTGTGTGGGTGGGGGGGTGAGTTTTGATTGGTGATTGTGAGTTAAAAAAATTTAGTGTTCACTCAAAATTAAAACTTAGATTAAGTTTTGTTTAACATTTTGTGTTTCAGTTGCTTCTTCATTATCTAGCACTGGCAGTTCAGGCCTTTCAACATAGTAGGAGCTATTACTGGTGATAGTGTGGTATTTGCCCTGTGAAGCATACAGCCCCAGAAGCATGGGGATTAGAATGTGGATGGCTGCTGTTACTTCCTTTCTTAGGCATCTTTCACCCTCTTTTCACTTTATCCCTTTGAGACATTTCATTGAATTCATTTAGGCTCTCCTTCCCATATAGTAGTCTGCCTAAAGAGAGGCACATGTTAGAATGTCCCAGGAAAGTTTGGGAAAGCTTGTTTCCAAACCCATCATTCAGGCAGTTTGTTTGAAGATAGAAGAGAACAGTGAACTTGGAAAGGCCTTGTCTCACTGATTAGCTCTCTCTTCATGTCAAGTCCAAACTAAATGTCTTCTCATTCTATTTCCCGACATGTCTTCTTTCCCTCTGCTGTGCTCCAGTGACCCAAACTGAAACACTTTGCTTCTAATACTTTCTGGACCCTTTCTTCTCCTCCCAAGCCTCTTCTTTCCACTTCAGGACATTCGTGTGCCATGCAATTACATGACTTCCTCAAGTCTCTTCTTTTGTCAAGTTTTCCCTTACTTTCACAGATAGAAGTAGCACTGTGTCTTAGTACTTATATTTGATTATGCTTTCCATGGATTTATCTTTCTCATGAAACAGTGGGCTTAATGAATGAAGTTACATGATTCTCCTTGCTCTTGTTTCTGTTAAATAAGCACATGGATAAAGGAGAAAATAAAAAGCTGTTAAAAATGTAAGTGGACAGTGAACATTATTTTAGATGGAGTCTCAGGTTGACATTAACCCATTTTTAGGCTCATGACTGTCTACTAAGACTCAACTTAATATATGCCGAATTTTTTTTTAAAATACAGATTCTCATTAAAGGTTCCATGCATATGTTTACCTCCCTTCCTCTTTTCTCTTGTACTTGACAGACGGAATCTCACAAAACTGTCCCTTATCTTCAGTCACATGCTGGCAGAAATCAAGGCAATCTTTCCCAATGGCCAATTCCAGGGAGATAACTTCCGGATCACCAAAGCAGATGCTGCTGAGTTCTGGAGGAAGTTTTTTGGAGACAAGTAAGTAGAAATTGATTTCATAGTCTGAATCTAACTTTCTAGAGTCACCTAGTTGAGTATATAGTGAAAATACTTGGTATTTTTTTTATAAGATTTGATTTTTTTTTGTTTTGTATTTGTTTTTTGCTTGTTTGTTGTTTGTTTGTTTGTTTGTTGAACAGTGAGGATTAGCCAGGACATTTGTGCTACTTAAGTGTTTTACCATTGAGCTAGGCCCCCAAACCTTGGAAAGTATCTAGAGTAATTGCTCCTGGTATAGTCAACAAAAACTATTTGTTAATAACGGAACATATAAATTTTGTTGTTAGAGTACATGTCAGATTAGACAGAATTTATATTCTGAGAGAATTTATTGAGTCATTTAGCTCCAAGAAGCAGAGACACATAAAATAATTTGTGCGTATAATTTCTTACCACTTAATGCTCACCTAGGTTGTATATAAAAATGAAAGGTATAGGGAAATATTTACTTTAATAACTATAAATAAGACTGTGGAGATAATTCAGGGGAAAGAGCTTGCTCTGCTAGCAAGAGAGACGTAGTTTGATTTCCTAGTATCCACAGAACTGTTGGTGGGCATGGCAACCCACTGTAACACCAGCATGCTACAGGTGTACATGAGATTCCCTAAGCAAGCTGTCAAGCTAGACTGAGGTGGTGAGCTTAGGGTGCTATGAAAGATCCTATCCCACATATAAGGTGGAGGGAGAGCGATTGGGAAAGACACACTCTCTACCTCAGCCTTCCTCATGTATGAATATACACATACATCCACAGATACCAAAGGGACTCCTCAGAGGAGGAGCATGCTGAACTTAGAGAACCTAAAGACAAAACAAAACTGATGTGCAACCCCCCCCCCCCCAGTTCACTCATCTACACCTTGTGTGTATTGTGGCACAAAACCCCATTATATTTAAACAGAGGCTACGCTGCCAGTGTCATCAGGAAGCTGCCAAGTGCAGACTAGGTGAAGATGTTTCTAATAAACACTTCTTCCTCAGATACAAATGTCCACGAGCAGGGTATGTGTTGGGGAATGATTGTCTGAATTCATCACAATCTATTTAACGTTTGGAAAACTTTGTGCACCATGCCCCAGATGTCAACAAAGGAGGCAAATGCGTCTTTGGTGACTTCATAAGGTTCCCTTTATTTAGAGTGCCTTTGGATGCTCTTTACTGTAGAGTCCACTGCCCAGTAAAGAGGAAGACTGATGGCTTCTACACTAAGAAAAGGGGTTAGATGTCTCTGTCACATAAATTGTGAATTTAGACATGTAAAGTGTGGGCTGATCTTTGAGCTGCTCAGTGCTCTCAGACTACTGAGAAAAGCATTGGTTTAATCTGTGTCTTTTCCTTTGTATCATGAAATGCTTGGTTTGTGTAGATTCTACCACAACTAGAATGTATGTAAATAGAGCAGTGATTTTAATGGGCATACAATATTCTGGCGCTACAACTACATTTTGGCTTACTGTTTGAAAAGGAGATTACCATATAGCTTAGGCTAGCCTGAAATTTAATGTCATCCTCAGGCTGCCTCCCACATGCCAGGATCATTGGTGTGTGCCTCCACTCCTTGTTTGGCTTGAAATGAATATTAAATCCTATTTTTCACTTTCAATATTACAATGGGCTTTTTGAAATGAAAGGGGGAAATACCATTTTATTCTAGTAGTAGTGTGAACATTCTGTGTTCTAGAAACCCAGCTATTCACAACATTTCTATATCCATTTAAAGTGAGGGATTAATGGTTTCATCCTCACCTGGTAATGTGAGCTACAGAAGTATCCTCATGAAATATGTATGAGTCTGCAAGGCAGACAGGCAGATTCTGGAGGATCGCCAGCCTTTGCACCTCCTGTGTTAACACTGAGAACCCAGAGCATACATGGTGTCTTTCAAAATCACGTTTCTCTTAAGCTTCTGAAAATGTATAGAACAGGTTGTTCATAGAAAGCCATTTCGAAAACTGAAAATTCTGCTTTGTTATAAAGTTCTTTGTTAGTAGGTTCCTAAGAGATGACATGTTGCTAAATTGTTTTTAGAGTGATATTTACTTTGTTAACACCTCAGAGCACAGTGAATTATGAATTTTAGACTCTTTGGGTTTTCTCTGCTTACCTACAGACACCAAGGGGCTGCTATTGTGTAGAACTGTTAAGTCAGGAAATCACTTAAGCTACAGGCCAAGTGCACTCCCTACCCTCTCAGCCCTCCAACCTCCTGCTGAGTCTACAGACTTAGGAAGGCTATAAATTGCCTGTAACATTTTTACTTATAGGATGAACTTTCAATTCCAGGCTACTTCCAGAACTTATACAGAAATGTAACTAGAGTTATAAAATGAGCAACACCTTTGTGAGATTATTGGAGAAACCTTCCTTGTTGGTTTTTTTTGTAGTTCTCTATGATTGTTGAATTCATAAAGGATGCATGACTAATGTAACTTCTCATGAGTTGAATTTTCTCTACATCATGCTCCAAATTGTTCATATTTACTTGATTCTCATCGTAAAGAATTCCTGTTGCTTATCCCCTATAATGATGATAAGGGAAAATGATTTCATTTAATTTACCAGTGATTTTAAACTTCAGAATAGTATTGTTTTCAAAAACAGACCCATAGGAGGTTGTCTCTACAAACAGTCAGATTATAATTTTATAAATTGTTTTTTGTTTGTTCTTTTGCTTAATGACTGTTATTGTGATTTACTTCCCTGAAGGGATAGTCATTTCTAACGAAACATTTAGAATGAATTAAAATAGAAAACAAACCATTGTTCATAAGATGTTATGATACTCATAAATATAACTTCAGGTCAGCTCTTATGAAAACAGGGAAGAGAAAACCAGCTTTCAAACTCTAATCCTGTTCTCTGCCTGGGGCTCAGCATGGCAGCCATTAGCCCCGTTGCTGAGAGCCTTGGGAACACAAAATGCCCATGTCAAAGGGAATAGAAAGTCCTGCTTGTGCCAAATTTTTAGGGAACTTCATTTAGTATTTCAAAAGGTTAGCCTTATCTTTATTTCCTAGTATTCTGTCCACCAGGAGATAATAGAAGTGTGTAGTAAAATAACATTATTGAAGAAATCTGTCAAAATAAATTTTACAAATATTCATATTCTGGAAAATGTTTAAGAAAATAAAAGAAAATTAAGAAAATACTCTTTTTTTTTTTAATTTTTTTATTGGATGTTTTATTTACATTTCATATGTTGTCCCCTTACCCCATCCCCCACCCACCCAGGAACCCCCAATCCCCTCACACCTCCTCCTTCTAGAAAATACTCTTAATCCAGAAACATTTTCAGTGTGACACAATTTGTAACTCCCACATGTATATTATGATTGCCTAAGAAAGAGAGTAGAAGGAGAAGAAAGTCAGGTGAGAGGAGATGGGAGGGAATCCAGGGATGGGCGGAAGAGGACAGTATGGGAGGGTCGGGAAGAAGAACGCAGGGGCTAAAATGCCCAAACTCTGGAGTTCTTTTTCTAAGTAGGACCAGTAGCAATTGGGATTTCAAAGATACTGTTCAAGCAAATTATTATTCAAAGAGAACCGATGGGCTATTTTTTACTTTTCATGGATGTCTTCTAATCCATGAGAATTAAATCCATCCATTACCAGTTTTATTCTTTTTTACTGGTTATCTTATTCATTTACATTTCGAATGTTATCCCCCTTCCTGGTTTCCCCTCCACCAACCCTCTATCCCATCCTCCTTCCCCCTTGCTTCTATGAAGGTGCTCCCCCACCCACCTGCTTCTGCTTCACCTCCCTAGCATTCCTCTACACTGGGGCCTTGAACCTTCACAGGACTGAGGTCCTCCCCTCCCATTTTGCCAGACAAGGGCATCCTCTGCTACATATGCAGCTTGAACCATGAGTCCTTCCTTGGTTGGTGGTTTAGTCCCTGGGAGCTCTGGTTTTGTTGTTCTTTCTATGGGGTTGTAAACTCATTCAGCTCCTTCAGTCCTTCCCCTAACTCCTCCATTGGGAACCCCGTGCTCAGTCTGATGGTTGGCTGCCACAAGTTTTATTCTTCAAGTTGAAGTTTAGATGCTCCCTGGCTTGCTGTAACAGCCTTTATATTGGAGCCTCTGTCTCCAGTGATAGCTTCTGAGATCAGTGCAACCTGTGGAAAGCAGAAGCCATCATTCTAGACTTCTGCTGGAACTGCTTTCATGAATATTGGCTCTGAGATTATGCCAAGCCTTTGGCCTTAGGAAAGGTTGATCTCTCTCTCCTTGCTTCAGCCACCCCCAAAGGCCACACCCAGATCATCTCCAAACAATATCTATTTATCAGCTTCCCAGTGGTTCCTCTTGCTCTCTTCTATCTTCACACTTCACTCTGTTAATGTTCCTTCCACTGCTTGGGTGCCTTGTCACCTATGCTGTGCCCAGCCACTTGGGAAGGTTCCTGACAGACTGTCTGAAGTGCTTTTCCAAATTCTTATCCGGGCCAAGCACCCAGGTTCCCATCCATTTTTCTAGCTTACATGGTACTGTGATACATTCCTCTTTCCCAGCTGAGGAATTTCCAAGAGACGGGACAGTCTAAAAGACAGGGACTATTTCATTTAGCTTTGCTTTTGTGGGCCTGGCATATGTCTCAGGATGTGTGGGCACTGATATTTATTCACAGTCTGCATATGTAGTTGGATAGACAGTGTCTGTTCTTGGTTCTGTTTTTAATGACTCCATCATCGTTGAACCTGCTGAGCATGGTCCCTACCCTTTCTCTGTCTTTTCTTTGTCTCTTTTCATTCTACAGTTTTACACATTTCTACAGCTCTGACACAGAAGTCAACTTTCTATTTCTCAGTCACTTATAAGCTTCCACACAGTTAACTACCTTATTCTCTGTACTCTTGCTGTATTTCTGAGTGTACATAGTTGAGTATGAGTTTACGTGGGCTTGTCCCGTCAGTTTACTTTTTTACAGTTATGTAAAATTCTGTGATTTTTTTGGAACACTAGTTCCGTTTT